AACACAATAACTGATCAATAAATAGACTTCAGTAAATATTTAGTATTAAAAACTTAAATACCCTTGGAGAAATGAAGCCTTAAAATTTTTACTGCAATTTCACAAAATTGAAAATAGTTCAAAAACGGTAAGGTTTAAGTGTAATAAACCTTAATCAAATTTACCTTCATTTTAATCGTAGAAACTAAAAATGCAATAATGTACAGGGTGTTCCATTTCAAAAAATACAACTTTGATATTTTTTATTTATTTAGGACACTCTGTATCTTGTAAAAATATTTTTAAATTGTAGCTCTAATAGTCCTTCAACGAACCCAAAACTAACAATTTGTAAAAATCTAATTATTTAGCTACAATACTCCGTGTCGTATGTGGTGAACAACCCTGTATACTTTTTTCCTATAATCTTCTTTTTGCTTTACACAGTAAGTACCACAGAAAAAATGCCTAACCAATTGCTCTGTGGACAGTACAGTACAGAATTTTTTGAGGTTAGGTGTAGATAATTCCGCTTTCACAACAAAAGTCGATATCGTCGCGCTTGTCGCCGTAATCCAAAGTAGTAATTGGTTATAATTTTGAAGTTGCTTTGGGTCGTTTAATGAAACGTTGTATTACGTTGTAGTTAGTATGTACTTACACTCGTAATTTAAAAGTACGTTGCACAACGTTGTACTACGTTTGTTATTCTGTAGTGCAATAAACATGCCTTCTGGCGACGTAATGACAACGGTATAAAACCCCACTTCTAACAACGTTGTGCTCTACAACGTTTACCAACGTTGTTAAGGGTCAAAATATACAACTGTTTAAGGGCAACGTCGTAGCGACGTTTTGGCTACGTAATTTGAGGTTTGGGTATGCATAGGGCAGGGAAAAGTACCAATTTCAACGTTGCGCGTAGTCAAAACTAGTCGGAAGTCGGAATTTTGTTACTTGGGCTAGAGGAAGACCAAACCTGAGATGGGACCATGATATTAGGAAATTAGTAGAGATATCTTGAACCTGCATAGAAATCAATGGGCCCAACTACAAAGAGAGTATATGAGGGACGCTACACCATAATTGGAAATGGTTGAGTAAGCTGAAAATGATGATGATGATGATTTTGACTGATAATTCACGTAAAATAATATTTATTTGTGATATAAGTGCTAAAAGTGGTATTTTATTTTGTGGGAAGGGAAGCTTGGGACTCCCGTCCCTTCGAACAAATTTTCCGTAATTTTCGGCATATTTGGAGCGTGCCGTCGTGAAGAACTATGCAACTTGACATTAAATAATATCGAGGATGTGGGAACTTCATTAATCGTGCATATTCCAGATACAAAAACTAATGTGGAACGAACATTTCTTATTACTGGTGTATTATATTTGAATTATTACAAAAAGTACATAGCTCTCCGACCAGCGACCATCAACATTCAAGAATATTTATAAAATATATTAAGAATAAATGTGCCACGACTCCAGTTGGAATCAACACATTTGGTAAGATGCCTGCCAATATTGCTAAATTTCTAAATTTGCCCGATTCTCATCTTTATAATGGACATTGCTTCCGTGGATCCTAGGCTAGTTTGCTGGCAGATTCTGGGGCTAATCTTAATACAATTAAGCGACACGGTCGATGGAAGTCCAGTACCGTAGCCGGAGGGTTATATAGAAGACTCTTTACAAAATAAAACGAGTATAGCAAGTCAAATTTTATTCAGAACCTCAGCGGATACTACCATTGCTTCTAATCTTGGTACAAGATTCACGTCAGAGATAGCTTCTACTTGTACTACAGCTATAAATGAAATTGGCCATGGAATAACTTATTCCAATTGTAATTTCACTAATTGTACAGTTAATTTGAGTAAATAATTATTTTACGTTGACTTGATGTTTCTTTTTTTTTCAATTATCGCCTCAGTGTTAAAAGTAAATCACGTGACTTTTACCATCAATGACATAATGTCACATTTTAGGCACTGACAGCATGCGTTAAAAATTATATTTTTACTGACGTTTGTAGAAAAACTAATTTTTTAATTTACCAGTTAGAACGCACAACATTAAACATATTTTAGTTTAAAATTATCCTAGTTATAAAAAATGTACGTCCATAACTAAACCAGCCTCAAATATAAATTGCGCTTTATATTTTCAGACGGAGTCCGACTCCAGCAATTAGTATTCTATTGTAGGACCCTAAAGAGTGGATTATTGGCAGGCATGAAAAGCTACTCTACTGAGATAGAGCCGCTTTATTAAGGCAGTTCACGAAGACGCGCTTAATATTGAGGGGTCGCGGCCGAAAACAGAGGGAGCAATTGAATACATTTAATTTTATTGAGTTCGAGGTCGGGGATATTGCATATATCGGTTGTTCCTTAACTTTTAAAAAAGGATTTAAGTTAATATAATATTACACACGTCAAAATGACCTAGGGCTAGTTTTGTAGGTTTGGATTAATCTTCAGATAGTAATTATTCTTCGGCAAAATAAAGGAGTCCAATTGCTCACCGCCGAACAGCGCCGTCGAATAGGCACACAACCAAACTTATATGGACTCACCCTTTATTTCTTGCAAGGATAAAAATTGGTATACAATTTTAAGATAAAGCGTTTTGTTGTAAATAAACATGATAAAGAATAAACGAGTGCTGCGATTTATTTTCTATTGAATTTTGTGTTCAGTAGTAAAATCACGATTGTCCGGTAATTTTCATTCAATCCGAAAAAATTAAAAAATGCCTTATGTTGGATTAACAGATGTACGGAGGGGAAGAATTATTGCTCTAACCGAACAAGGAATGCTCTAAAGAGACGTAGCAGAGATAGTAGGCGTTACCCAGGGTGTTGTATCGAAAACATATGCAAGGTACTTGGAATTAGGAATACTCAAAGATAGGCCTAGACAGAGTCGTCAAAGAACTACAAGATAGATAAGAGTCATAACTGAACTACAAGACCGCCTGGTGTGCTAAATTGCTAGAATAAATCCCAATGTTTCTCATCCTGAGCTACAAAGAAAACTTCTGGCAGCTGCAAGTGTGAATGTTTCAGTTGAAACCATAAGAAAAAGACTTCGTGCACGAGGGTTTTACAGTAGGAAAGAGTTACGGATCCCACAGTTATCTCGGCAAAATAAAATTGACCGGCTAAATTGAAGCCTTGAACTTCAAAACTGGACAACTGAGAATTGGCAAGGTGTTCTTTTTTTTGGGATAAGACCAGAATTGGCCTAAGATCAGATAACTATCGAATTCGGGCTCTCAGAGCTCCAGGAAGATGAGCGAGACTCCAGGCTGCCAAATTTGTACCAAGATATAAAGGAGGAACTGTAATGTTCTGGGGAGATATTATACTAGGAGCAAAAACTCCATTGTTACCACTTCAACAAAATTTAACAGGTCGGAGATGTGTTGATTTGGTGCTATTGGGTATAATTTTAACTTCATACACGATAGTGCACCTCCCCATACCAACAGAGTGACTAGAGAATGTCTTGAAACGGAAGGTGTCATAGTTTTGGACTGGCCTGTCTATTTATAATAATAATAATAGCTCCCGTATATAGCGTTTAACGCCTTGGGAGTAGCAAGGTACAGCTTGCTATACTAGAGCCGTTCGGTATGCAAGGAAGGTAATGTGTCTAGCACTACGCTTCAACATCCTATTATTACCTCAGGATTGTGATTCCCAAGTACTCATTTAAGGCTGAGTCGATCTAGGTACCCAAACTATTTTTATTTTAATACAAATAGTCGCCTGATGAAATGCCGGGTGTGGGAATCGAACCCACACCTTGAGATTGGTAGACGAGAGCCTGTACCTCTACGCCACCGGGCACCTTATTTACCAGATCTAAACCCTATGCCTGTCTATTTACCAGATCTAAACCCTATCGAACACTTGCGGGACTAGCTCAAAAGAAGAGGGGTTAGAGCTCGTCGAAACAATCCAGGAAATCTCGCACAGCTTATTGATGCAGCATTAGCAGAATGGGAAAACATACCCCAAGTCAACGTGGATAATTTAATAAGAAGCATGCCAGCGCGGATAGAAGCTTGCATAAGGGCTAGAGGTGGTCACAAGAAATATTAAAATTGTTAATTTTCTTTTTGTTTATGCTTTTTGGCCTTTAAAAATTTAAATCTTAATTTCGTTTCAGAAACCAAAAAAATGCCATTTTGTTTATTTTGGGAACTGATTATTTTTTTTTAATTGCTATATGGATTATTTTTCATTAAAAGTTATTGGTAAGGACTGAGTTTTATTCATAAATAGAAACTTTTCATACATCCCAAAATTTCTTGCAGCATAGGTATACAGGGTGACAATTTGAAAACGAGCAGTATTTAATATTGCCTCTACCGATGATAGTATGAAAATTTGGCGAAACACGTCAATTTACATATCAAGGGGGACAATTTTTGAGGCATTTCTTGTCGTGTTACTTTCAACCCCTTGAATTTTAAATAGCAACCCCTATTTCTTTTTTCCCCTATTCTTCCCCTATTTTTGTGTTTCTTATAGAATTCTATATAAACTGCATTAATTTTTTGGGAATTTTATAAGGAACAACATTTAACCTTTTAGTGGCATTGAAGAAACGGAGGGTTTCCGTTATGCTTTTCCAGATATCTTCATTTCAATTTACGAAGCTGTAGCCTCATTCAAAGTTCATTCTTCCTAGAGATTCTACGGGATATTGATGGGATTAACAATTGCACGTATTAATAATTATTAATTTTATTTGAATCGACAAGAGCACTTGGAAGAAAATTATAATAAATCGAAAAAAAAATGAAGACTTTAACTCCCTGTAGCTACGAAACAAAGCAGAATCGGACCTATGTTAATATGAAAAATAAATCTTAATTAATATTTTGATGGCACGTGTTTTTTGAAACACCCTGTATTAGTAGTTAAATAGTTAATTTTAATTTCAAATGAAACATTATCTGCCACCTTTAAAATAACTGATTAGTTTATCTCTATCTTCCAGACTCCAAACTAGACAGGAGTAACGGCTCCAATGACGTTTTAGACGATTTGGACGACCATCGACCCAGGAAAGTACGGCGTTCCAGAACGACCTTTACAACGTACCAGCTACATATTTTAGAATCGGCTTTCGAGAAGACGCAGTATCCGGATGTGTTCACCAGGGAGGAGTTGGCCATGAGATTGGATCTGACAGAAGCCAGAGTACAGGTGAGGATACTGAACAAAAGACCAGATACTGTAGACTATAGAATGTATGGGAGGGGGGTTACATATCTATTGTGTCTTCCTTTGTTAAGTTATAACTCATCATACACTCTCAGGGCTCTAACAAAAGCCAGTATCTGGGACGGTTTTACAAACGTTAGTTCTTCATCTCCAATATCAGTCATACCTCTGACAGAGACATAAGTTGTACGAATTTTTCGATAGCGTAGATTTCTGCCTGAACGATGGTACTACGATCTGCCTGGTATTTGGTATTTGGTTCAGAGTATTTGGTATTTGGTTCGGATTATTTAGTTTTCGGCCCCAAATACTCCTATCTCTGTTTTATCATCAGGCACTGCAAATTTATATTTTTTGCAGTTGTTCTTTTTCTGTTACATAATATACAGGGTGGCGCCTCTCATATGCCGCGGAGGCTCCAAGGAGAACGATAGTTTGTATTGAAATGAAATTTTGTGAGCATATGTAGGTTAATTCAGAGCACTTTTAAAAAATATAGAGAGTTTTACAGGGTGTTCCCAAAAAAAGTTACATATCAAAGTTGTGTTTTTTCTGATGGAACACCCTATATATTAATTGATTTTCGGATTTTGGGAGAAATATAAAGGTGAGCTTTATAAAAGAAGTATATGACTAAAACGTAAGGTTTTTGACATATTTAACATTTTCTAGAAATAAAGAACAATTTTTAAATTACAATAAAAGCTACTTAAATTGGAATTTACCCGGTATAGCCTAATATGTAGTCAAATTAACTATTGTACTTTAAATCAGACAAAACTTGATCCATAAAGTTATACAGGGTGAGACAAAATTAATATTGAACATTGGTCACCTTTAAAAGCATGTTACTTTTTTATTTCAAATGGAACACCCAGTATATTATTCCGATATTCAATGGAGAATTCACGTCTCTTCAAAATACTATTAAGGTTGCCTACCCCTCAAACAAAGATTTTCCTAGATATTTTAATTTACATGATTTGATCTGAGTAGATCTTTATTATTTTATAAAATCTAGGTGGCTGTGATATGTGACGTTACTTCAACATAGATGTCTAATTAGTCCAACTTTAACAACTAGTTATCATTTCGTGTCAGTTAAAACAAAAAAAATTCTCAGAGATTTGCCGAAAATGCAAACTTATCCTAAATCAGAGAGAATTGATATGATTCTATTAGTTGGTGAATGCAGTGTGCATTCATCATTTAATGCGATAGAATACCTAAATGCTCCTGATTTTATCAAGTCTGTTTTTTTTATGGGGATATGTTAAACGAGAGTGTTTATAAAATTCGACCAACTATTGTCGACAACATGAGAGCTGCTTTGTAGCCGCTTTTCGAGGTAGAACTCCAATGAAAAGATCCTTTTGAAAAGATAATCATTATATGCAGTTAACAAGAAAGGAAGCATTTTGAGCATTTGATTTCATCTAGCTAATTTTGGTTACATAATTATAGGTTTATATCTAGTTTTAATTCTGTAATAATTAAAATATATTTTAAACGTGTATCTTTTTATTACCGTTTAGTATTTTACTCTACAATCTTTAATTTTTGTTAAAATAACAAAAGGTATATCACACAGCCACCTAGATTTTTTCAAATAATAAAGATCTACTGACGCAAAATCATAAAAATTAAAATATCTAGGAAAATTTTTGTCTGAGGGGTAGGCAACCTTAATAATATTTTGAAGATATATAAATTCCCCATTGAACACCAGAAAAATATACTGGGCGTTCCATTTAAAATAAAGGAGTAACTTGTTTTTAAATGCAACTAATGTTCAATATTAATTTTGTCTCACCCTGTATAACTTTTCTGGTCAAATTTCAATTTGGTTTAACATACAATGGTTACTGTAATTAAATATCAGGCTATACTAGGTCAACTAAAATTTAGGTAGCTGTTATCGAAATTTAAAATTTACTCTTCATTTTTTCAAAATGTGAAATATGTCAAAATCCTTAGATTTTAGGTATATGATTCTTTAATAAAACTCATCTTTATTTTTTTCCTAGAATCCGAAAATCAATTAATTATAGGGTGTTCCATTAGAAAAAACATAACTTTGATGTGTAACTTTTTTTGGAGACACCCTGTATAATTCTATATATTTTTATAAAATGCTTTCAGTCAACCTACATGTGCTGCCAAAATTTCATTTCGATATAAACTATTGTTCTCCTTGGAGCTTCCGCGGCGTATGAGAGGATTTTTAAGATTTGCAGGACGACAAAATTTTCCGACGGTTTTCCGTCAAAGAACTTTTGCATTGTCTTTTTAAATCACCATCAGAATAAAATCACACACATTGGTTTGAACCTAATAGTATTATTGAAACTTAAATAATATAATACACTACACTATTAAAACTAAAAGAATTTCGGACTTCCATTGTCTTTATTTATTTTGCTTACACAACGTTTCTGTCAGAAGTATCACTTAGGGCTCGAACACACTGACGACCAGGTCGCACCGGCCCACAGTGCTTCGAACATATGGCTCTAGAGGACAAAAATCCAAAACTTCTCTTTTATTGCAGGCAATTTATTCAAACTAGGTTTATTTGACACAAATGATGAGTACTCTCATTGTACTAAATGATGATGTTCTTAGTCCCACGTTTATGAAAAAAAAAATCTTATAAATAATAATAATGTTGGAGCTGTGTTCCATCTAAGCAAATAATAAGTTATAGTATGAAAACGGTGTAAGTATTAAATAAATTCCTGTGATAAAAAAGAATTGAAATAACATTAGAACATGATTCCTACAATATAAGCCTAATATAAGATAAAAATGTTTTTCTTTAATGAAAAAGAAACATTAATGTTATATTTAATTAAAAAAAACTTAAGGTACTATAAATTTACTTTAGGACAACAAAATGCATAGATCGTAACTACTCTGATTCAGGAGAATCACTGCTGACAGAATCTTCCAAATTTATAGTATCCAAATCACAGGTAGATGAAGTATCCTCACATATAAGATATTTCTGTACATCATTTTCTAATATGTTACTTTTTCGCGTTGTTACTGTTCATTTTGTCGGTATGAGGGGTTCGGATGTTAATAGTTACATCTTTGATAGACCATATTCATATATTATTTTTCCTTTTCTTGGGTATGAGATTTTATAATAAATTGAAAGATGGACACTTTTTTTATGCGACGTTTCGCTCCAACATAGTGGACTCTTTCAGGCACAAGTGGTGTCTCATTTGACTGGAAGGTTCATCAATATCTAATAAGAACATATTTTTTGAAATACAAATAATGTTGAGTTCTTGTCCTTATGATCAAGCCAAGTATTAGCCAGATCGGCATTGCTTATCAATTTTACTCCATCTGAAAAGTATTATAAAATAAAGTTCGTCGCAAGCAGACGCAGGTGAACTATACAAAAATTAAAAGTGTATGAATATGGCAACAAAAATATTCAATAAATACGATATGTTTTGATATGTTTTTTTTAAATGCCTTTTTGAAGTTTGAAAACGTAAAATTTTTATACCCATTTAAGAATCATCTTAAAAAATAAATAAAAACTAAACAATCACGAACTTGTTTAGAAATAAATTTAAAGTACATACCTTGTTTAACAATATCCATAGTGGCTTTCAATTAAGTACGTACCCGTTTAACTCCATAATATACAGAACTACTATGAATGTTATTCTTTTCACTGATGAGATAATGATCGCAAAATTTATTTTTAGTGAAAATATTTGCTAACAAAAACGCTGTTTATGAAAAATAATATACAGGATGGTTGAACATTGCTATAATTATAAAATTATATATTCAGATATTAGTAAATTTTAACTTATTTTTTGATTTTTGTCCATGGGACGAAGCACTGTGCGGCCAGGCCGCAGCTACCTCTAAAACCATTAAATCAAATGATATAGGCGACCAGAAGACTGCACGGAAATATTATTATTTTCTGTCGCTTGTTGCCGGTTTTCTTCCAAATTAATATTTTTTCAGATGAAATCCCTTAAATTCAAGGCACAATATTTTATTTTCTATAAGATATAGTGTTTTTGCACACGTGCAGAAAATCCAAGTAAATAGTATACACACGGAAAAAAATCATTTCTATATTCAAGAACAATCATACACTTAAAATTTTACACTTTCTTTAAGGATAGTATTCTTTCCATGAGTACAACAAATATTTGGAACTATTTTACTTTTACACTTGCTTTTTAAATATAGTTATATATTTATATATAGTCACTCTAAGTAATTTTAAATCTAAAAAATAGAATAAAATGACTTATATTTAAGAAAGACTTATATTACTATCAAGAGAATAAATCCTTTAGCAACGAAGAAACTATTATTAAATGAAGTATAAATGCTTTTATATAATAATAAGTAGTATTCTTAACTTTTTTAAAACTTTTACTTGAAATCGGTGTATTAAGACTTTAAATAAGTATATTATTCTCGGCGCGCGTATAACACCCCATTTCCAAGAGTTACTATTCTTCTATTAAGTGACCATCCCCAGCAACAACAACGCAACAGTGCATTCCTGATTCCTATCTTCATTTCATTGGGTTTCTGTTTCTCTTCTTCGACACGAGACGCGCCGGGTACTTTATATAAAGTTTTTTTGTTATCGTTTGTGCTTGTGATATGTTAAAATGGAGGACCTTCTTCAGGCATGGGAGATGACGAATTTGATCCCAAAATTTCAAGGTAATTTTAGCAATAATCCTACATTATTTGATTACATTGGTTTGAGGTTAGGGGGACTCCATTTTAATATGCATTATTTCTTATACACTGGTGGTGAACTAGGTATGTACGCGTTTTGGAATGGTTCAATTATGTTTTAACAATTTTTATTACTGTCTCTCGTTTTTAATTAGCGATGCCGCTGTCCAATATCTACCTTTATTGGGAAATTACATAGTTTTATTGTATTTTCTTATTACGAAAAGCATATAATTTGGTAG